ATTTACAGTAAGCTAATAATATATTATAATTTGTACATATTAATTTGTGCTAATTCTATCATCATATTACTTACCCAAAAAAAAAAATTAAAAAATTACAGTAATGTAATGATCATTTAAATTAATTCAATTTAAAAATAAAGAAACAAATTAAAAACAAAAGCCAATTCATCTTTCTACGTATAATTTACTCAAAAAATAAATATATGTTTATATTTATACTTATAACAAAAGAAGTCTAACAAAAATTATAAATTACACAATTTAAGATTTTAGATGTAATTATTGAAATATATATTATATATATGTATTATATTCTGTTTCCTTCTCCATTCTTTCCTTATATATACGTATAATATATTATATTCGCTTTCCTTTCTTTTCTCCTTGATTTATTTCTTTTGTTTCCCTTCTTTCCTCTTTGATTTATTCCTTTTGTCAACTTTATTTCATATATATTGTATATCAATACAATGTAAATGTATCAATAAATACAATCAATAAGAGAAATGGAACCTTAGTGTCGAACCATGTATATGTTGTGTTATATTTCTCTCTTCCATCTTCCTATTTTACATCTTATATTTCTGCATCATAAATTTAACATGGTATCATAGCAATGATCCTAAACCGTTTGTTTGTTTGTTTTTTTTTTTTTCCCTTTCCTTTACTGATTGCAGAGAGTAATGAAGGAGAAGATCAGGAAAATCTGATCCGTTTCTGGTTCAGATCTCCCTGACGCTCCTGCGAAGTAGATCTGACTTGCGCTACACGCGCAGATCTCTCTTTGTTTTCCTTTTTCGATCAACCGCGCGCTTCCAAGCGACGTCACGCCCTGACGCTCCCGCGAAGTAGATCTGACTTGCGTTACACGTGCCCACGCGCTCCTCCTTCATCGACGGTAGTCAACGCTCCGAAGCGTTGTTCCAACTATTTCCCGGTTTTGTTTCGACTACTTCCCCGGCTTTGTTTCGACCATCGGAGCGTTGTTCCAACTATTTCCCGGTTTTGTTTCAACTACTTCCCCGGCTTTGTTTCGACCACTTCCCCCTGTTTTGTTCCGGCCATTTCCCCTGCGTTGTCCGCTTACTTGCCCCGTGTTGTCCACCCACTTCCCCTGGCATTGTTCCAGCATTTCTCGGCTTTGTTCTGACTATTCCCCGGCTTTGTTCCAGTCTTTTTACCGGCTTTGTTCTAGATCTTTTTCATTTCTCAGATGGATTACTCGGATGTCTCCCAGTGTTGCTCCGGCCCATTTATTGGCTTTGTTCCGACTATTTCCCCGGCGTTGTTCCAGCCTTTCGGATGCTTATCGCTGCATCACCATTTTCAAGATTTCATCTCCAAACTCAAGTTGGCTTCAAGAAACCCATCTTGAGTTTGTGGGAGAATATTGAAATATATATTATATTAATGTATTATATTTTGTTTTCTTCTCCCTTCTTTCCTTTTTATATATATGTATAATATATTATATTTGTTTTCCTTTCTTTCCTCCTTGATTTACTCCTTGATTTATTCATTTGTTTCCCTTATTTCCTTTTTGATTTATTACTTTTGGAAATTTTATTTCCTATATATTGTGTATCAATACAATGTAAACACATCAAAAAATACAATCAATAAGAAGAATGTAGCCTCAGTGACTTTTGATCCATGGAGCTTTAGTGTCGAACCATGTTTATGTTGTGTTATCTTTCTCTCTTCCATCTTTCTATTTTACATCTTATATTTCTGCATCATAAATTTAATAGTAATAACATATTTGTTTCAATTAGCAATCTAACCAATCATATGAAGAAAATATGCATGATACCATTAAGTCTCTAATCGTGTTACTCTACGAAATTGTTGTGAAAACATAGAAAATCAAATTATTATAATAGAACGTTTATATGAAATACAAAACCAAATACATTAGGATTTCGTTCACCTTCATGTTTAAAGATCACCTTGACTACTCTATGTTAATAGCAAAACCATACATGATGTGATTCTCCCATTTTAATCTCAACGTTAATAAATTGTCATTCTTGAGTACAAGACATGCAATTGCACAAACACGTTTGTGATTTAATAATCAATAATTAAAAATATAACTCCTGTTTTTTGGCATTATAAGTATCGTCTCTTGGTATGCTAAATATAATGAAATATTTAATAAGTTCATTTACTTAATTGTTAAATATTGTGTGTTAAAACATATGTTGGGATCAAATGAATTTCTTGCATCTTGTTTTATAGGGAATATATCTTGGTAAATATAATGACACACTTATTAATTCATTTAATTGTTAGTATTTAAAACTATAGATTGTAATTGATAAAAGGGTAAAGTGCATTTAATGTCCCTGATATATACTCTGAGAATCACTTTCACCCCTAGTTTTAAGAATGTGCTATAAATACCCTCATGGTTTTAAAATTGTGCCAAAATCTCCCTCAAATCACATTTATGTAAATAGTAATATGCTCGTTTTACCCTTTTAACCTTTCAAAAATGCCCAATAGGTATGTATTATCTATATTTACTTTATGTAGGAGAGTTAAGTGCTCGTCGACTATATTTAATCTACTTTTGAAGCTTTTTTTTTTTTACCTCTCTATATAGCTTGTTCTCTCTCTCTCTCTCTCTCTATATATATATATATATTCACTACAAGTCTACAACTTGTTATAACAAAGTATTATTTCTTTCTTTAAGCTCTCACTCCCTACAATAACCTCTCATGGCATCATCTTCAACCTTGAGAAATCATTCTTACTTTAATGTGTTAGGTGAGACTTATTTGTACATGTTTTTCAAACCGGGGTGTTTTATGCGCATGAGGAGGTTGAAATGTCTAGGAAGGATATCAAATGGGGTGTTAAGTGAAATTTAACATCCCAATCGACCACATGATATGATATTGAGGCTTTTTGGGATAGAACTCGTGGGGTCGTTACAAATGATATTAGAGCCTGACCATAGCCGGAAGTGTGGCCAACAAGGACATTGGACCTCTAAAGGGGGTGATTATAGTGACCTTGGGGGGGGGGGGGGGGGGGGGCTGCGTGGGTAGGTGCAACGCACTAGTAAGCTATAGGTGCACAATCCTATATCGTCTAGGTATAGAAAGGGGAAGTGATTTATATGTAAGTGGTGTTATCTTCAAATGGTACGAGACCTTTTGGGGTAAACCCAAAAATCATGCTAGATCGGGTCAAAAGCGAACAATATCATACTATGTGATATAGTAGGTCGTTACATGCACTTTACCCTAAATAATGTAACAATTGTGTATATAAAGGTAATTTCGTCAATGCATTACTTTAACATGTTAGGTGCGACTTATTTGTACATTTTTTCAAAATGAGGGTGTTTTGTAAACATGAAGGGGTTGATAGGCACTGTAAGGACATCGCAGGGGTGTTAAATGCGCTACCTTGGGGAAAAAAATAGTATAAAAACATATAGAAATAATCAACATTTGTTACACTTTTAATAATAGTGTAGATATAGATTTCTAATGGTTTCATTTCATTTTAATTTTGGATAGCCTTTTTGTTTCCTACCTTCCATGTAAATTAACCTTCCTCTTCTCACCTATATGTGCATACTACCTGAGCTTATTCTTTCTAATTTTATCACCGATATGTGTTAAGCTGGATTTCTCTCTCATTTTGGTTTGTAACCCTATATTTTCTAGTCATTTGTATCATCCATCTTAAGATCTTTATTAGAGTTGTGTACTTGGGTATGTATAAAAGGAAATTTATCTAAAGTCACACAAAATAGGTTGAAATGAGACTTAATTTTGGCTAAGCATACTTAATAGCAAACTACATTTTAATGACGTAAGCATATATAATCCGTAAATTCGACTAATTTAAACCGTTTTTCGAAAGTTCAAATTAATTTGGTTTAGGTGGTCAATTACCTTGTGCAAGTCAATTTTTAACTCAAAATTCTCATTTTCTTTCAAAGTTTCTTACTTTGTACATTAAAAAACTCTCGTGACTTCAAATGTGCCTTAAATAAAGGTCATTTTTAACTCAAAACTCTCATTTTCTTTCAAAGTTTCTAACTTCATACATTAAAACACTATCTTGACCTCAAAGGTACCTTTAATAAGGTAATTTTTAACTCAAAACTCCCATTTTCATTCGTAGTTTATAACTTTTAACATTAAAACACTCTATTGGCTTCCAAGATACCTTGAATAAGGTCATTTTTAACTCAAAACTCTCATTTTCATTATAAGTTTTTAACTTTATATATTAAAACACTCTCGTGACTTCGAAGGCACTTTATTTATTTATTTATTTATTTTATTTTTATTATTGGCAAGAAACTCACACACACCACTCACACACCCACTTAACTCATTTGGAGACTCAAGCCCTTACCATCCACTTTGGGAGGTAGAGGAGATACCACTGGCCACAAGATCCTTGGTACTTCAAAGGTACCTTGAATAAAGTCATTTTTAATTCTAAACTCACATTTTCATTCAAAGTTTCTAACTTTATACATTAAAACACTCTCATGACTTGCGTATGTATAAAAGAAAATTTATCTAAAGTCGCAAAAAATAGGTAGAAATGATGCTTAATTTTGGCTAAAGCATACTTTATAGGCTTAACTTCGACTAAGCATATCTTATAGTATACTACATTTTTATCAGGTATGCATAATTCGTAAATTTGATCGGTCCAAACCGTTTTTCAAATGTTCAAATTAATTTTGTTTAAGTGGTCAATTTATTCGGTTTGGTTTCAATTTTTGTGGAAACATTTGATTTTATTTACCATCCCTCTAAATCGAACCGAACCGAACAATATGCACCCTTAAAAGACTTGGGCCTCAGACCTCGACCCAAAAATGTTTAGGTCAGGCCTGAGGCCCATGGGCCGAGTTCACACCCACTAAAGGTCAGTTTCTAGATCTTTCCAATTTCTAATTAAATAATTACTAAATAATCACAAATGCCCCTGCCTCACAAATACACATAAATTAGGGATGTTTGGGACAAAATGAAAATTACAGATGATTTGAAGCTCCCGCTGCTCCTGAAATTTTCACTCTCGTTCCCGCTGCTCTCTCTCTCTCTCTGTCTCTCTCTCTGTATGTATATATAATATATATATATATATAAACATTCAGTTTCATTTCCTCTTGTTTCTCTCTCCTCTCTCCTCTCTCCTAGGTCTTTCTTCAAACCCTAGCTGGTAAGTTATACTCTCTGAATCTGTTCGCTTCTTCTTCTATTTCTCATCTATAGATAACAAACACACACGCGCACACACAGAGCATGTCCATGGTATTCGTCTGTTTAAAATTTTGCCTCCGTATTTTGAAATGATTTAGCTACATATGTTGCATTTTGATTTGTGCGTGTTTGCGTTCGTTCTCTATCTAGGGTTTCGCATCTGTTCGTTTTGTTAGTGTTGTTTGGTGAATATACTGTAGTTTGGAGTTTTATATGCTTGTCATGTTGTGTTATGTGCTTCAACTAATTCAAATTGCTTGCTTATATATACATACCATGTGCATGATATCATTCTTTTTAAATTTTTGCTCTTGTTTTTTTGAAACAATTTACCTAGATAGGTTTTGGTTTTTTTTTTTTTTTTGCTTGTTTGCTTTCGTTCTGTATCTAGGGTTTTGTGTCTATTCATTTTGTTAGATTTGTTTGGTGGATTTACTGTGGTCTGTTTTATACTTGTTCTGTATCTAGGGTTTTGTGTCTATTCATTTTGTTAGATTTGTTTGGTGGGTTTACTGTGGTCTGTTTTATACTTGTCAGGTTGTGTTTTGTGATTCGAGTACTTCAAATTGATTGGTATAAGGTTCGAGTCTTTTTAGTTTTTTAGTTAGTCCCTTGCATTATCACTTGAAGTATATGTGTTATATATATCTTTGGAAATGGAGGGAAATAAAAGATATTATAATTTTAAATTATATGATTAATGCTTTTTTTTTTTTTTTTTATATTCTTAGAAGGGTCCAGACCATGAGAAATTTTGGATTCACAATGTTGATTCCCTTCATTTCCTGTTCTGGCAATTGACCAAACAGAATGTTCTTGTCATGTACGTCTTTTTTTTTTTTCCCATTTTTTTTTTAAGTATTGGGGTGTAATTACTTGTTGCAACTGTGAAATCTCTCGCTGCCAAGAGCGAGGACTTGGTCTAGTATGAAAGCAGCCACAGAGCCACATGGCCCATGTACTACGTTTTGCAAAATATTTCCAAAGGTTAGATTTGTCTCCAATCTCCCCTGGCCCAATACTCATTGTAGGTATAATGCCCTTTTTGTTTGTTTTGGATTGGGATATGGATGGCATGTTTTGATCATTACATGTATGGAGTTCTTGCTTTTGTCGTTTGGATATGCTTACTTTGCTCCTACTATTGCACCAAATATCTGTGTTTCTTTTTTATTGTGCCTTGACTGGTTCCTTTATATATTGAAATAATGTGATTTAGGTTTTAAATCGTTCAATATAATAAGGAGTGATTTTTTTCTCAGTTTTGTTTTGTTTTATTTTGCTTAATGCAACTTGATCATGTTGTTTGTATGTATATAATTTTTTTTTAGTTTACAAGTCAATTTGTAAAAACATTGAACTTGAGAACATTTATGGAAGGTTTTATGTTTTGAAAAATTGACATCTAGAATGGCATGCATGGATCTTTTGTTTTGGTTTTGTACCTCTCTGTTTTCTCTTGTCCTTTTTTATTATGTGTGATTGTATGCTTCTGATTGATTTGGTTTTCAGGGCATGTGATTGAGTTGTTATTTCACTGGGAGTTGCTGAAAGCAGCTTATATTCTGTGAAGGAGAACAACAGTGCCTGATTAATCTTTGGATTTTCTCTGGCCTATTTAGGAGATCTCTTGACGGTACTAGATTTTGTCTAGTTTTTATTCTCTTCCAAGATGAGCTCAATGGTAATATTATTGTTTTTGTTATTTTCTGCATTATTTATTTCAGTTCTTAAGAACTTGATTAGAGAGAGCTTTTGTGTATGCAGAGTGAAAATTTGCGATGATTGGACTTTGGAGGGACAAGGAAATTCATGTACCGGTCCTTTGATTGGGTTGTGTTATCAAAGAGAGTATGAAAAAGAAACCTTGCATTTTTCTGTGATGTACTAAATATGAGGAATCTGAATATTTGAAATTTAGATATTGTATCACTATTACCAATGGAGTGCAACAAAGAAGAGGCCATCAGGGCCAAGGAAATTGCAGAGAAGAAGATGCAAAATAATGACTTTGATGGAGCTCGGAAAATTGCATTGAAGGCTCAACAACTTTTCCCTGAGCTTGAGAACATTTCTCAGCTGCTAGCCGTCTGCAATGTTCACTGTTCAGCTCAAAACAAAATAAATGGGGCTGAAAAAGACTGGTATGGAATCCTTCAAGTTGAAAAAATGGCTGATGAGGCCACAATAAAAAAACAATTCCGAAGATTTGCACTTGTACTTCATCCTGATAAGAACCAACATCCTGGTGCTGAAGCTGCTTTTAAGCTGATTGGGGAGGCATATACGGTGCTTTCTGACAAAGGGAAGCGGTCTTTGCATGACAGCAAATGCAGAGTTTCTGTGAGAACTGCTGCTTCAAAGCCGCCACCTCATCAGGCAAATCGGAACCCTCATGTCAGGAAACAATATGTAGCCCAGAATAATATTTCCAGTGGTTCCAAAACTCATTTCAATCATCATCAACCAGCACAACCAGGTTTGTCCGATGGCCGCCCTGTGTTCTGGACAAGCTGCCCTTTTTGTTATATAAAGTACCAGTACTACAGAGATCTTGTGAACAGAGCATTGCGCTGTCAAAATTGTCTTAAACCTTTCATTGCATATGATTTGGGGGCTCAAGGTGTACCGCCGGTATCAAACTGGGGTCAACCTGGAGTTTCCATGCACACACCAAATCAGGGGGCCTCAACAGTGGGTTTGCAAGGTACTGCTGGGTTCCCGCATTCCCATATGGGATCCCAGGGAAGCACTGCTGGGGTTGTTGGGGGTTTTAAAAACAAGGAGAAAGAAGATGAGCATGTGACTACAAAAGGTGGGAAGGAAGGGGTGCGGGCACCCAACTTTGTTGCAGCAAAATCAAAGGAATCCAAAACTTCGAGAAACACAAGCAGGAAGAGGAAGATGGTTGTGGAATCTAGTGAAAGTGGTGATACTTCAAGTAGTGCTGACATGGAAGATGTGGTAATTCAAGAAAATGGTGGCAATCCTGCTGGGCATAACCCTGAACCCAATGATGTACGTCAGCATAGGAGGTCTTCTCGGCAGAAGCAGAATGTCTCTTACAATGAAAATGTAAGTGATGATGACTTTGTGAGCCCTCCAAAAAGGTCAAGGGGGAGTGGATCATCCCGGAACAGTGAAGAACAAAAAGAAGAAGCTTTAGACAATGAAGCATCTAAAACTGAAAATTCAGCTTGTTCTGCTACTGCTTTAGGTAAAGATAAGGAAGAGATTAAACAAAAAGTAAGTGCTACTCCTGAGAGAAGCTTGCCAAACAGAAATGTTGAGATTGACAGAGAAGCAGCATTCACTGTTGATCCTGATGCTAAAAAATCTGAGATCATTGGTGATTCTGAATCAATTTCACCTTCAACTCCAGATCCGGAATTCTTTGATACTCCTGAGCCAGAATTCAGTGATTTTGATGAGGCTAAGGAAGAAAGATGTTTTGCTGTTGATCAAATCTGGGCTTGTTATGATACCGTAGACGGCATGCCAAGATTCTACGCCCGGGTCAGGAAAGTATTTTCACATGAATTTAAGCTGAAGATCACTTGGCTAGAGGTTTACCCAGAGGACGAACGTGAAATTGTTTGGGTAAATGAGGGTTTGCCTGTTGCTTGTGGCAAATTTGTACTGGGTAACACTGAAGATACAGCTGATCGTCTTATGTTCTCTCATCAGGTTCGATATGAAAAAGGTAGTCGTAGATGCTCTTATGTGGTGCATCCTAGAAAAGGAGAAATTTGGGCCCTCTTCAAGGACTGGGATATTACGTGGAGTTCTGACGCAGAAAATCATAAGACGTACCACTTTGAAATTGTGGAAGTTCTCTCTGATTTCAATGCTGGAGTATCGGTTGCTTACTTGGATAAATTGGCAGGATTCGTGAGTCTGTTTGAGCGAACAACCCGAAAAGGGTTTGATTCAGTTTGGATACCTTATAGTGAGCTTCTTAGATTTTCCCATCAAATTCCCTCGTTCAGAATGACTGGCATGGAAAGAGAAGGTGTCCCAGAAGGATCTTTTGAACTTGATCCTGCTTCCCTCCCCAGCAATCTCTTTGAGCTTTGTCATTCTGGCAATGTGAAGATGGAGACTGAAAGCAAGGATGCCAAAGTCAGTGGTTCATGTCCTAAATCTCCAGAGGAAAAAGAGGAATCCAAGATGGGTGCCAGCAGGATGACCACACCAAAGAAGAATGTGGATTTTGAAGGCAAGGGGGATTCTGAAAGGGAGTTATCTAGACTTCGAAGATCCCCGAGGGAATTGGGAAACATTTTTATGAAGCATGCCAAGTGAATGCAAGTCAAGGTGTGACTTGAGGTCAAACTGCAAAGCATTTAGATGGTACTAATACAATAGACATGATGGCCTTGTTCCATTTAGAGGTGTTTTATGTCAGGCTGATGAGAAATAATTTTGCATATGAAGGATGCAAGTTCCAACCGTTTTATGAAGAGCCCTAGCATTCCTCCATCATCTTCAGGTAGCAAAATTGCAGGAGAGTTTTACATCTTTGGTGGGGGCTAATCTGAGGGAAGGTTTAAGCTAGGTCAGATTTGGGCATTGTGTAGGATCAATAAGGATGAATTATCTAAGAGCTATAGTCTGGTTAATATTCCCCTCTCAGAGTGCTCGTGACATTGCTTGAATTATGTATGCAGCCTGGTTGCTGTGGAACACTCAAACTTCAAAGTGACGAAACTGCAGTCTTATTACCCAGTGCTGGTTTTACCTGTTTTGATCTGAAGAATTGCAAATATTACAGTTGAAATTCTCAAAGATAACGAGCACTGCACCTACGTTTCATCTTTGGTATGTATGAATGGTTTCAAGTCAGTTTTTAGGGCTCCGAGAAGACGGATCAAATGCTGGTATTGTGGAGATACTTTGGGTTGAGTTTTCCTGATTGCCTCATCAGATACCAGTTTTTCATCTCACGGGAGAAAGATGACTGCCTGAGAGGCTGTTGGGAGCTTGATCCTTCATGAGTTCCAGGTATTTTGTTTTGTATAAATTGAAGTTGCAGGATGGTGAGAACTTAATGCTGCATGTTGAATATGGAATGAACTAGAGTGGGCTTAATGAATATGATCCGTTTCCTATTTCATCTGGATCACTGATGGCGTCAATAATTGTCATTGTTTTTTTGGTTTGTTTGGTGCCACTACTTTAGGGAATAGGTTGATTTTTCTGTGGTATGCTTTAACTTTTTACCTGTTTTTTTTTTTGGGTGGGTCAAATGGTCATTAATGTTGGCCTTCTATGATGACTGAGCCTGAGCCTGATCATCTTGTTATCGTTTAAGCAAACGTGATTATTTTGTGCGCTAAAACTGACCCCATAATGTTTTATCTAGAGAAATCTGTAACTTAAAACTGTTTTAGTTGATGAATCGTAAGGACCGGAGCTTGACTTTCTGATGGAGAGTCGTGTAAGGTCCACTGATCGAACCTTGTGTTATTTAGCTCTTAGAAAATTTTCATTATAGTAGTTTTTAATTTTCAAACCATATATTCTAAAAACATATTTGGAATAAAAATAAGTTAGAAAATTTAAAATTAAGAAATCATGAATATACAATGTATGTACCTAATTTGTGAGTGCATCATTGTGTGAGATTACTATTTTAACCTTTGATATTGCATGTAGTCCATCTCCAACTTTAGGAGCTATCTAATGCTTGACTCACTTTTGACAATTTGCAACTAAACTAGAAATTAAACAAAAGTACATGCTCAATGTTTTGATCAATGAAATTTACCATCATATTAACCTTAGTATCTTTTCTTATTTCTAAGCAGGAATATAGCAGTATGTTTGTAGGAGTCATACTGATACATCTGATGTGATTTTTTTAGGGAGTATCATTTGTGTGTTTGTGTAGAACTAACATAGAATTTTAGAATTTGAATTCGGAGTTACTTTATGTCCTCACTTCTCACAAGATTCTGTAAAGTGTAAACACAGTTGATTAGCCGTTTTGTGCATGGTTGTAAAAATCGTGATTCTGGATTGTAGAATCGCATCCTACCAACCCAAAATGAGTCCAATCGTATAAAAATCATTCCCTGGGTAGAATCACAGTATTCTAATACGATTCTACAAGATTCTGACATATTCTTTATTTGGGCTTATTTTTGGCCTGATTCACTTTCTTAAGTGTTGGGCTCTCCAAATAAGAAAGGCCCACAGTCTTGTGGCCCAAAAACAGTCCATATGAATAAGACAAAAACACAATTGACTCAACTCAAAGATGCATATTTTTTTTTGGGGTATTTGATTAATTCATTGATTGATTTGTTGAAACTTGAAAGTTTAAAACTTGATATTTGATTAATTCATAAATTGATTATTTGATTCGATGATTTCTTAGATTAGTTGAAAGCTTGAAACTTGACATTATATGATTGTCAGATTGTTTTTTTTCCCTTTCAAGAGATTGTTCTGGCAGATTGTTTTGTAACTTTTGTTTTGGTCTTTTTGGTTTTTTATTAATTGTTATGTAATTTGAATTTTGGAAAACTATTGATTTCTCAAGAGAACGCTGCATTCTGCAACTGTTTTTCAAAAATGTTTTCTTGAAACAAAAACAGTAGCTCCAATCCTCCAACCGTTTGAGTCTGTACTCTGTTTCTTTAAATGGTATCTTATTTGTGTTTTATTTTTATTTATTTATATTATTTAAGTTTCTTTTAGAAATTTAGGTAATAAGAAATGTGAGAGAATGCAAGGATTTGAACCTTGATTTCCTCACACACAACCTCACTTGTAAATTGCATAGTTGACATGAAAAAGAATGCAAGAGTTCAAACCTTTATCTTCTCACACAACTTTTCAACTTACAAATTGCATAGTTTTCATGGGAGCTCTACCTTTTGAGCTACGCTCTGTTTTATATTATATTTGGACTTTGGAGTGGTGCTTTAATATACTTTTTTTTTCCGTGTGTGTGTGTGTTTTGGACTTATTCTTGCCATATTTGCCATATTTTACATATATTATTGTTTAAAAGGTAGAATCTTACAATTCTCGATCCGATTCTACGTAGAATCCCGATTTTAACAACCTTAGTTTTGTGTGAATTTTACTTAAATTCGGTAGTGGTTGTCAACCATGTGATACCAAGTAGATAAGGCTCCAAGTTCCTTCTCTATCTTTGTTTTTCTTAGGCAGATGTTTTTTCTTATCAGTTTTCACTTAAGACAACCATTGGGACTGAATTATTTTCATGCAGCATTTTCATTTCGTGCTTGATATATTTGTGGTGATGCATCAATATTCAGGAATATCTTTGGAGTTGGTTTTCACTTTGCTCTCTTATTTGCTCCTTGTTTTACCTGTATTGTAGTAATATATATGAGTATAATTTGTATACTAGTTTCCGCCTTATTAGAATTTTTTTTTCCTCGCATTATTCTCTTGCATATTAGTAAATACCTATTTTCCTCTTTGGTATGCATTTTTCATTCTGAAGAATAAAGCATCTTAAATTTAACTGTTAAGTCATTGTTGAAGCATGAACTCTGCTAGTTGTTCAAGTGTGGAAGTTTTTAGTGGTTTTTAAAGAATCTCTGCAAGGGAGCTGGAGATTTGAAGCTTTTCATAAGATCTATTAGGTTATAATGAATTTGTTCATGGAAAATACTGTTAATTTGGAAATAGTGGGGGATGCAGCAATTGGCTGAGAATATATATATCTAAAATACAATGGTCGTCCCGGGACTGCATATTTGTCAATGCTAGGTGAAAAGTTTTTGAAATTTTAAAGAAAAAAGCTACGATGGTGTTCACGGTAAGAGCATCCTCATGGTAGAAAACTCAAAAGAAATAGGGGATGGTGGTTGGAATTAAGCTATAGTGGAGAGTGTGATTGGGAGATAATACCTTTATAAAGGAATGCCCTACCGCTTTCTGAAATTGTGGCTGATAAAAATGTTTGGCCGAAGGGTTATGCGCTTTGGATGGAGAGAAGCTAGGTTGGGTAAGCCTTTTATTGATTTGGAGTATCAATAATGGAGGGTTAGCAAGTCTTTTTTTTCCCTTCTTTTAGAAGCTCTTTTGGGGAAGCCTCAAGAAGCTACTCCATCCGTCTCAAAATAAGATTCCAAAGCCGACATTTATTTTGAGACGGTGGGAGTATTAATACTCCTGTTAAATTTGAGGATAAAATAGACATGGATGTTAATATTGTCTGTGAATGCTGGTAAAGTAGAAATATGATTTTGGACATTTATGTTTTTGATATACATATGTTCATATTAATCAAATAAAAAATTCAAATTTGAAATATATATATGGGTAAAGTGTATTAAATCCCCTTCAACTATACCTTAATGAGTAAAAAACCTCCCTGAATTTATAAAGTAGCATAAAACCCCCCTGAAATATGTTGTTTGGTTGCACTTTACCCCAATCCGGCAACTGGCCGATGGATTTCTACCATGTGATAGCCCATATTTCTCTAAATGACCATAGAACCCTTATGGAATGTAAAAAGACCATAATAACCTTTAAAGACATTTGGACTCAACTAGTATCCAAACAAGCCCTAACGTTTTGTCCGTCTCTCTCATCGATCTGTGCAGTATATATTTGCCAATATATATATATATATATATATATATATATATATATATATATGTTGTATGTTTTACAGATGCTCATGACCGGTCCTTTGGCATTAGAATTGAAACGATCCAAGGCATAGAAGCTTGGATTCATCCCATTTACAGAACAAGAAAATTTCAAAATTACAAAAAAATTAAAAAATCAAAATCCATTTACAGAACAAGAAGCTTGGATTCATCCTTGCCGGCCGGTCCACTCCACCGTCGCATTTCTTCCTCACGGCCGAGCCCTCGCCGGTCCATCACCGCCGTTGCATCACAGCCGACATCATCCAAAGCCGAAACCGCTGAGGCCACCTTCATCCTTTCCACCGTCCGAAGCCTCCAACCCATAACCACCAGGCCACCACCACCTTCAACCAATTAAAACCATCACCGCTCTCCACCCAAAACCTCCACAGTCACCATTTTGCCCAACCAATCCACCCTAGCCAAAAAAATGAAATTGATCATGGTTTTGCCAAATTTCCCCAAATAATATTCAACCAAAAATAAAATAAAAAATAAAAAAAATCCCCAAATCACGAACTCTGCAACTGTTACGGTTTTTTGTTGCCGTCGAACCCAGAAACGGCGCCGACGAGGACAGAGAACAGCAGCATAAGGAGTTACTGGTGAGGCGGTGAGGACACGCTGGGTGTGGCACAAGGAGTTACGGGAGTCCATCACCGTCTGCACCTTCGACAACACTGGGATGTCAGATCTGCTTTCGTCGTTTGCCGCCGTGAAGAGGTCGGCTATGAAAAGGTCGTCCGGTGAGGACTTGGCCGTGATGGTCCATCTTCGCCACCCGGGTCTTTGCCGCCTTTACTTCTGTTCTTCGCGGGACACAAGGGACATGTTGGTGATCTGGAACGCCGACGAGGACGACGGCTGCTTGCCGTCGGTGTCGCTGGTCAACGACAACATGAACGAGGTGGCGTTATAACTGGCCGGCGAGATTGACGTGCTCCCTCTCCTCTCTGTGTCTATATATATATATATATATATATATATATATATATATTATACATATATTTATAATATATACACACATAGAGAAATAGAGAGGGGGAGATAGAAACGATGTAGTTTTGAATAAGGGTACAATTGTCTTTTATCTTTTCCGGTGGCCTGAGTGGGCAAATTGCAAACAAGTGAAAGTTCAGGGGGGTTTTTTTGTAATTCGGGGGGGTTAGTTGCAAAACCCCCATAATTCAGGGGGGTTTAATGCACTTTACCCTATATATATATGTGTGTGTGTGGTTATCCTATGCATTGTGGCGTATGATAAGTTATTCTCTACAAATAAAAATTGAACGTAAGTATTATAATACGCGCGCGTGCGTATATATATATATATCAAACTATTATCTATATTGTGAGCTTATTCTTTTCTCTGCCTAATAAAAAGAGGGAAAGAAAGATGTCTTATTAGGTTTACCGGTGCTAGCAATTTTTTGTGCACTGCTACATTTGTTCAAGGCTCTGTAAGGGGTGGGAGGTTCTCGGTTTTTGGCATGAAAAAGCTCTTTTTTGTTGTTGTGTGGTGTTACAAACACACACACACACACACACATTTCATGCATCTTAATTAAGCATGCATTTCCTTCCTTCCAATTTTGCCTTTCAGCTACCTTCAATGGGCTAGCCTATATTCTTCCATGATTCATAGTCTATTATATTTCTAGTAAGCTTTGGTCTCAACTCCAACAAAGAAATGTTGCTACATTTTGTGGACAGTCTATTGTTAAGATTTCAAGTCTGGTATTTTGTACAATGTTTGTTTGATATTATTAGAGAGTGGATTCGGAAGATAGGAAGGAATGAACAAATTTTTTTTTTTCCGTTTGGGAGAGAGGTTTGGTAAAGAGGATACAAACAGAAAAAAAAGGATAATGGGATGTTATAGGCATTTTACTTCCTTCACAAATTTTCATCCTTCCAAGTATGGATGGATGAGGGGAGAAAAGACTGTGGGATTATTATAAAAGTTATAAATTACAATATTATAAATAGTGATGGTATAATGGTATAAATAATTTATTTTATTTATTATTATTATTATTTTATTTTGACAAGAAAAACACACTATTCACATACGTCCACACTCATCTCGAACTAGAACCAAGTTATACCTTTGAATTAGAACGTTAGATTAATTGATACTCTCTTTACTCTTCTAAGAAAACATAGTAAGTTGTCGGCCTCTCTTTTTCTATTATCGAAAAAGAAGAGGATATGATTAAATTTCTTTTCTAGAGATATCTCATCCATCCATTTCTTTCTTTTTGTTTTGTCTACAAAGCATTAAGTTTGTCGTGAGCATGAGATACCTATTAATGCATTTTTGCCAAAAAAAGAAAAGAAAAAGGAAGAGAAATCTAAGCAGGTGTCAACCTTTATTTCAAATTAAAAATGTTTGCAGGCTCAATTTTCTAATTTTCTCTTTCCCATTATTGAATCAGCCCTTGAAATTGTAAAAAATTTAGTTCAATTCTAAGGTACCCATTTATTTCGTTCAAAACTTGTTTTTGAGTTTGAGTAAACATTATTATGATCTAAGTCACGTAATTTTTCTCAACAAGTGTTTGATTTGTATGGTTGTTAATTCATCATTAATAAAAGTAAATCGGTTTTTATAATAATTTACACATTGGTAAAACTAAATTGGATATAAAAACAATAATGAAAATCGAGGTTGAACAATTCCCACATAAATCCCGCATTTTTTAATTTGTCTATTTTTTCTTTAAAATAAAATTGTTTCTTTTGGTAAAACATATATAAAATAAATAAATAAAAGGTACAATTTTTTTTTTCTTTCTATTTTTCTATTTTATTTTTAAGAAAACATCGGGTACAAAGAAACAAACTGGCAAAGTTGCATTCACATTGTTGGTCGAAAAGGTTGTAAAAGTGTCATTTATATTCTATTTATATTACAATAATCATTATTTTTAATGATGCACGCTGCCAAAATTATACAATAAAATATTAAAATGAGTGATACCATAAACAAGACTTTCCACTAAATTAAAATAAATAAATATATTTTTACCTTTTATGTCTTATGCCAATTATTAAAATATATTATTTTGATAAGATATGTCAATTATTTACGCAGATCAATTAAGAATTTAAGAGTAAAAATCTGTAATATGATAATATCAAGTGATGCAAGCTGTAGTTTATTAGTAATATACTCCTATCTATATATTATATTTTATTTTTGAGAGAGAACCACCGATTTAAAAAATAATCAATTGCAATTTCATTAAAAAAAAAAAAAAATTATCTAAGAGGGAAAAGGAAATCAAATAATTAAAAGTTTGTTTCTGAAAACAATTCTCATAAAATAAAATAAAAAAACAGAAAATTCTTTTCGCATAACTATAAAATACAATTATTTTGTATAATTTTCTAATTTCATTTTTTTTGTTAAAAAAAAAAAAATAAATAAATAAATACAGGAACCTGCCAAAATTGAATCAATCGGACCACTCTGTATCCCCGCGGGTCAACTCAGCGATCCAAAATTCTATTTACAGTCAAAGTTCAAACACAACTAAAATTGGTGTTCGCCGGAGTACCAATCTCTCTCTCCCTCTGCTCTTTCTTTCTCTCTCTAAAAGACTCTGATGGCGGTACAGTGGCTTCTGGTGGCCCATGGGCTGGTGACACTGTTGGTAGTGGTATCATTTCTCTGCGGTCAGTGGCCAATCTTCGAGGGCACTTTCATCGAACGCATCCATTACTTCCTCATCTTCGGTGCCTACGAATATTTCCGGTATGTATGCATATACATACATCTATATGTTCTCTCTCTCAATTCTCTATCTAAACTCTCTCTCTCTCTGATTCCCGTTGTTCTGTGATTGATACGTTATAGGCGATTTGTTGGGTTCGTATTTGGTTCCAGAGGCGTCAATGCGATCCTTTCTGCCGAGTATTACTGCTGCGATCGACCTAACCCTATCTTACAGGTTCTCAATTCCAAAGTTCTAAATTATGTGTGTGTAAAATATATGTAAACACAGTCACAAAATCACTGTAACTGAAAATTTGGATAGAACTGTGTTGAGATAGTGAATTTGGATATTTTGTGCATTTCGTTTGTTGTAGTGGTAATAGTGAGTTTCTTCACTTGTTAGTCGTTATTGGTGAAACTTTCTTATGAAATTGGATTTTTTATTTTTATTTATTTTTTATTTTTATATATATAAACACAGTTACAAAAGCACTATAACTGAAAAGTTAAATGGAATTGTATTGAGATAGTGAATTTGGATTTTGTGTGCATTTTGTTTGTTGTGGTGGTTATGATGAGCTTCTTCAGTTGTTAATTGTTGTATTGATGAAACATTTTGTATGAAATTGAGTGATTTCTTTTGTTTGTGATGTAAGATTGTAAAATGAGTTCATTTTGTTTGTGATAGTATTTGAATGGATTCACTTGGTTTTGCTTGTTACTTGCTTAGAATAAGGGGAATATATTTTTTTTTCTAGAAATCAGATTCTGCACTAATAGAAGTGGATCATATTATATGTTTATGATACCCTCTTCACTGTGGTACAGGAGGTTAAACACACAAAAACCCCTGTCCTTTAATTGTAGATTCACAAAGTTTCATATGATTGTAGATTCTCCCAGGATAATGATACCCTCTTCACTGTGGAAACCATCATGATGTTTACTAAGCTGCATTCCATTCTCTTTTCAACTTAACTACTTTTCCACTGTAATTCAGATTGCCTTAGGGCTCTAGCGTGGGAACAAGAAGAAGAACAAAAAAGGGAAAAAAAGAAAAAAGAAAAGAAACATAATCAATACTTTAAAGCTAATCCTAGTTGTTAAAAGGAAACTTGCATATGTTCTGATTCTTAGTATATAGTGTTAATAGATATGTATACATTTTTTACTTATCAAAAAAAAGATATGTATACATTTTTTATATTTTTTACTGTTGTAAATAAAAAGTACACTTTCGCATATAAATCACATCGTCGAGTGTTCTTGTTAATGTTCTCTTCATTTATCGGTAGACGTAAGAAGTTTCCATTATTGAAATCATAAAGATATAGTGCTACAATGAGACTAATGCAGTCATTTGTCTGGATTCCTATATATTACTCTGGTTTTGTAGACGAATAGAATTTAAGTAGCAGGGTTTTCATTTTAACCATGCATGTTGTCCTTTTTCTTCTAAGGGCCACATCTGCGAGTATTCAAGCACGCTGATTCCTCTTGCATAATATATAGAAAGAAGAAAATGAGTCATCTGGTCTTAGTTGGTTGACTTTGTTGAGATATCAAAAAATTAAAAAAAAAAAGACTTTGTTTAGGTCACGCTGTCACGGAAATGGTGATGGGTCATCATTAAATGTATTATGCTTAGTGATCGTATTCTGCTTCGTATACTTCTATATGCAATAGTGGAAACTTTCAGGAAGAGTAAGTTTATGTCCACAATCACTTGTCTTCTCTCTTCCTCTTAGTGAACAGCGCATTTCTTCCACTAAGACAAGCAGAACTCTCTTTTGTTGGTAGTATCTCCCCTTGTGACGTTGAATAAAACATTTCCTTTAAAATAAAAAAAAAAATCTGTTAAAGAAGGGGCATTCGGATTAACCAAGATTGAAGAAGTGGAGGTCGCTTTGGCCTTTGTTAGTTATGCTCATTTGGAGATAGATTTTTTATCAAAAAGAGGGAATGAGATGCTTCAGTGTTTTGGGTGACACATACCTTCCGTCCCCTGGTAATGGAGTTTCTTTTATTTTGTTTCCCTGTTTTGTTTGGGATGTGCTATTAGAATCCTATCCTACTCTTTTGTTTTCTCTTTTTTTTTTTTTTTGGGGACTGTTCTTCCTATACTTTCCCCTTTTTCTTCCTAATGATATTCACCTTTTATTTCAAAATTAAAATTAAAGAAAAGTGTCAAGACTTACAGTGCAATGGTGCTGCGGAGAGTTACATGATAATGATGAAAAAATAAAAAATAAAAAGAACTATTATTTTAGATTTTAGACTTTGGATGCTTTGGATATTGTTCGAAGTTTTGATGGTCCATGAACTTGAATATGAGAGGCATTAATCGGTATAATTGAGCTTGCCCTTGTTGTTAATTGGAGATTTGGTGGGTTCATTATTTATGTGGCCAAAGTTTCATTTTCCTTATAGAAATGTGCTAATAGAATTTTTTTGTGCTATGAAGGGTTTTGCCTTTTGAAGGTCGGTGTCCAATATTAAAACAGCCATTAGAGGGGTTGGTCTAGGGTCAGTATTGTATTTGAAAAGACTAGCAAAATCTTAAAAAAAAAAAAGAAAAAAGAAAAAAAAAAAAAGAAAACACTTGTATTAGCTTTGAGTTCTCTATATAAAGTTACTTCTTTTTCTGGTCTATTGGCAATTCTGGGTAGTTGTGCTTATTCCAGCCAGTAAATTTTTTCCAGGTATTCTTTGAAGAAAAATGGGTGAGCATGGAGGATAATAATATATGTGCTTCTATTGTTGCAGGTATTATATCTGGCAATTATTGGAGTTACTTATTACATTATTATAAAGACTTCCTTTAGCTACATTCCTGGGTATTATCTAAGTGGAGTTCACAGGTACAATACTTAAGAATGTTTATGTTAACTGAATGTTAATGTTAACTCTCTCATATTTTTAATATGTTCCCTTAATCCCTTCTGTGTTATTGCCTTTTGAATTTCTTTAGACATCATATGTTCTTGCAGGTACATAAGCATTTTGGCAGTTGGCGTGGGTATTCTACTCTTCCTTCTGGCTAGCTTCTCTGATCCTGGGACTGTGAATTCTAAGAATGTTTCTCAATATATATCTGCTTTTCCTTATGACAATATCATTTATTTAGAGAAAGAATGTCCTACTTGCAAGATTCCAAAGTAAGTTTATCGGTTTGGTAGTGGACTCTTGAGGATTTACTGTGTAATATAACCTGATGGGATTTTACCATTGTTTCAGACCTGCTAGGTCCAAGCATTGCAGCGTATGTGACCGGTGTGTCGCTCGGTTTGACCATCATTGTGGATGGATGGTTTGCTTTCATACCATTCTTAAAATTATATTTTTATGTGGTACATATTATAATATATTGTTTTTCTTTCCTTCTCAAATTTTTTTATTTCATTTGTCATTTCTGCAGAATAATTGCATAGGGGAGAGAAACACCAGATACTTCATGGCTTTTCTTCTCTGGTGAGATTTACTAGATTTAGCAGCATTGTATTTTATAATTGAGCAAATTGTATTTCAGCTGTAGTTAGTGAGTTTCCCTATTCTTTTCTTCTATTCCTATGCTTCACAAATGATCCGTGTTTAGGACTGGCATTGTTTTTGTAAGAAGACATGCATCTGCTTATTTTTTAATTTAAGGTTAAAACTGAAACTACTTAACAGTTGTAATATTTATTGGTTATAATGGGTCATAGTTGAGCTTTTAAAATTGACTTCAAGTTGCTTATCCTCAATGGGTTGTGTTTTGGAAAAAGGGAAATATTTTGCTGAGGCATAAGGAAATAAAATTGAATTAATACTGGTCCATGTAGGATTTTTTATACGAGTATTTCACTAAAATGTGACAACTGCAGAGGTTGCATTATTATTGATGACTGTGGTAAAGTCCTAAACCCAATCAGTGATTGTGCTGTGTACATTTGCACCATATAAATGAACTGTTTGGCCCACCCAACCCAATCAGTATTACAGTGCATGTGCTGCATCCATAATGATTCTTGATTCTACTTGTGTTGAGTGCTTCTTTAGTGCTTATGCAGGCATTTCCTACTCTGTGTATATGGAACAGTAGCCATTGGGTTGGTTCTTGCTGGTCAGTTGAAAGAACTAAAAGTTATATATATTCTAACAGGTATTTCTTTTTGCTTATAAAATCTCCTAGTTGGTGGTTGAATTTTTATAAGAGCCTAAATTTGAATAATTCTTTTCTGATTTCCTATTCGCAGTTTATTATGGCATTCAGAATTCTTTTGGTAGCTTGGCTCCACATGTTGTACAGGTGAGTGCTTCTAGATTTATATCTTGCTTCCTGTTAGAATTTGCTTCTTGTATGCAGCCTATAATTTGCGTTTAAGAAGTATTACTTTCTAATTGCATTTCTGTATTTTCTACTGTGATATTAACATTCTATTTGTTTCCTTATAAAATTTTGAATATATTCATATATTTAATCCTCTACCATGCTTGTTCCCGAGTTTTGAAATGATGGAAGCATGTTGCTTTAAGAAGGAAAAATTGGGGAAACATCATTTTGGGAACACACCTAGAACGCCATAGCCATCACAACGGGGTTATGGTTAAATCGCAAGATCTTGAGGGAGTTTCAAATCAGCTATAAATTTCTAAAGTAACATCTACTAAATTAGAAGAGCAGATGGTTTATATTTCACAAATAAGCTAGTGGACATTGCTTATTATACTTGGACTAAGAATCTAAAATTATAAACTATAAATTATACAGTAAAACTAAATTAAACCACCTAATGGCAAACATAATGACCCCACTAAGCCCTAACCCATGAGAAGAGGCCTTACGTACAAAATATATATCTTATTAAGTACCCTATTCACATTAATGTAATAGATCACAAATAAGAATAACTAAAATTACACTGGTCAAAAGTAAACATAAAATAGAACTCAACTTAATCTAAAACATGGCTACACAAGGTCCTGAGTTGGCCTCACTTATCTGATATATGCCAAATTGATATTTGTGCCTTTGAGATATTCTTTCCACGTATAAACTACTCCTATAAAGGGTCTTAGTGTTTATCAACATTAACTTCATAGAAAACAAGGATAATGGTATTCAAGCTTGTCCAATCAATTAGGTGTTGCCTCAGATTGTATATCAAATGGGATGACCAAACCCTTCTAGCTTTGTAATGCTGCTGATATGTTTGCATAATCAGTACAGGACTTTTTTCTGTGGGTTTTTTTTTTTTGCGTATGCATTATTTTTGTGCATGGATTTTTATCTATTTATTGTTCTGTATTGGTAGTCAATGTTCATTATACTAATGTATTTTTGGTTTTCAATTGTTCCTTCCTCTAAAGCTTTTATTCCAATGGTTCTCTGCCTTGTAACAGTGGTTGTTGGGCTCCTATAATACACAAATACTGCTTATGGTGTTTCTGGCCATAGTTTCACTGCTATTAGCTGGTTTCTTCGGGTATCATGCAAATCTCTGCCTCACAAACACTACCACGAATGAGGTCTACTTCACTTATCCTTAATTTTTTGAGTTGAATTGTTCTTATCTTAAAAACATTATGAAGAGCACCTTGTGTAAGGAACTAATAGTATTATACTGTCCAAACTCTTTGGATTCTTTGCTGTTGCAAATACATGTCCTGTAAATAGAGTACAATATAGATAATGGCTTTAGATGGTAATAATTGTAGTCATGCATGTATATGTTGACTTGAAGTTGTGGAATTATCTTTCTGCACTATTTTTGAATAGATTAACCAAGAAAATGGCACAATCTGGAAACAACGTATATGAAAAAGATTCAGTTGCCACTATGAGTAGCATATATTAATAGCTTTTATAATGGAACATGAATAACATGTGTAGGAAATTACTGTTGAGACTTTTAGAATTGGTTTTCTTTGCCGAGCTTCATCATACTTCGGCTCAACCATTAGTATGATGGCGTATATATTAATTGAGTTATGGTGTTTGATAGAATTGAATGGTGAAACATGATCTGGACAAGGCTTTGTTGAGTTGAGTTTTTACATCTATTTAGCCGATCTAAGGTTTGGAACCCTAGTTTCTTAGTATAATGTAATAATAATTAGCTGAAGGGGGTTCATGGGTCCTCTTGGCTATATGGTTCAACTGACCTCCTAAAATATCCAATCCTTAGCTGGGCTACTACAGTGATTAATTATCTTCGTAAACCCTGCCTCTTTCTATGCTTTCTACTAAATTTTATTTATTGTAATGAGTAGATAATGCAGCTGTCCATCACTTATGTTAACCAATAAACTGATTGAACCATTATGGCTTCTATGGCCATTTTTTGTTGTACTTCAGTTATAGAACTCTGATGTTCATATTCTTGGTTTTCTGAAACTTCAGACTTTTAAGTGGCAAGACTACATAAGCTGGCAGAAGAAGGTAAATGAAGCAAAGGCGAGCACTGCAGCGTTAAAAGAGAGTATCAGCGGATTGAGCCATGAAGAAAAGCCTCCGGAGAGCAAATGGAAGGCTTTCTTCCGAAGATCCCGCCTGGAAGAAGTGGATGTGGTTAAGAACAACATTTACGACAAAGGATACTGTCACAATTTGAGTGAGATCATCTTTCCGTTCTCAACAAGACCTTCATTTTCAAAAATGAAATCGAAGTAGGGTTAAGAGTGGCTGTTATTGACACGTCGCGTTTGTTTGGCTGGGACTTGGCAAGTGGTTTCGTAACGTGTATTCTCGTGAGCCTGATTCTCACATGGCTGGCCAGAGTCTCACATGGATGGTGTTAAAATCGGAAGTTCTTTTACCTATTTACTCATCATATTCGGTGTATTCTAGTGTCCGTAGCTTAGTGCAGCCATTCTTTAGTGTGAATGTGAGGATATTTCTGGTATAGAGAGAACATTATATCATGTAAAGATATAATTTCCTTGGACTAAAAACAAGCGCAAAGTTTTCATCTCTTTAGCAGTAAAGAATTTTTTTGGCGTGCAATTTTGTTCCTTGAGGATTCCAAGAGTACTAAAATTTTGTTCCAAGGCTGAGTAGTTGCATGCCATTGTTACTACAAAGGATTCTAAATCCCGGCCTAATAAGCAAATCAGAGCTCATCATCATATCAGTCTTGAGTGACTGTAGTACTTTCTGCCCTAATGAGCAATTTTATTAAAGATAATAAATTAACAAGGTTATAGTCGCATGAAATTGGAGAAAATGAACTCAGAAAGCAAATATAAATCAAATATAAATTGAAATTAAAATTAGTGAAAGGGAAGAAAATAACTCAAAAACTAAATATAAATTAAATTTAAGTACAAAATTTGCTTGAATTTTACTTAGTGATAAGTGAATACACTCATTTAAAATTTACCTGTATTTTTTGTTTTTTTTTTTTTTTCCAATTGGATTTGGTGGTTTCAATTTTTTTTTAATCCTTGTACAAAAAATCAAAGTTTTTTAAAACTCACCGAGTCCCTAACTAAAACCCTAACTCGCCCAAAACCTCTCCTCCTTCTACCTTTCTCTACGCCTTTCTCGCACCTCAGCTCCAAATTCTACAGAGAGAAAGTAAAGAGAGAGAGATGGGAAGAAGAAGACGAACAGGTGCTTCATCGCCGTCGCTCTTTGAACGACTTCGTCGTAACATCGAATCCTGCAAACACAAATACACCACTTCCGACGAGATGGTCGAGTACCTCCGCTCGAACTTCTCCGAATACGGACGTCTCAAGCTTCAGCCATTCACCAGAGCCGTTCAACAAACCCTAGATACAATGCTCCTGCAGAATCAGAAGAAGAAGATCAGCAGATCAAACAATCAAGACCCTCCGTCAACGTCGAATGTCTTTGAAGATGAAGACAGTCCTCTTCGGAAGAAGATGAAGAAAGTTGACATCAGTGAAGAGAGGTTGCAGCGCATGGAGGCCCAGCACATTCGGAGGAGGCAAAAAAAGGGTGATGATCAATCCGCGTCTTCATCGTCATCGGATTCGGAATCTTCATCGTCGTCCGAGGAAGATAATGGAGCTGTTTCGACATCGGAAGATGCAATTTACGGGGAGAGTTTCGAGCCCGAGGTTGATTTGATGAAGTCCATGCTGCGAGCGAGGTACAGTGAATCGAAGAAGGATGTGAAACCGAAAACAAAAGCGGTAGAAGAGAATAATGTGGAATTGGAGGAGAATGTTAATGATAAGGCCACCAAGAAGTTTGATTTGCTTGGAAGAGACATTGGTTCAGCGAGAAGAGAAGGAAAATATATGAATGGTGGTGGGGGTGGTGGCGGCGGCGGCGGCGGCGGCGGCGAGGAGGTGAAGGGGAAGGATGGGCCAATGTTTAGGGACATCGGCGGGTTGTCTTCCGTGGTGGAGGAATTGAAGATGGAGGTGATTGTTCCGTTGTTCCATCCACAGCTGCCACGGTGGCTAGGAGTGAAGCCAATGGCAGGGATTTTGTTGCACGGACCACCGGGGTGTGGTAAGACGAAGCTGGCTCATGCAATTGCTAATGAGACTGGGGCTCCTTTTTACAAAATTTCAGCTACTGAATTAGTCTCTGGTGTTTCAGGTATTCTTTACTTCATCTTATTTTTTGTTTTTTCTTCCTAAATTCTTGTATTAATATTACAATTGGTATTAGACTTAAATTGATGTATGAAATCTAAACATATGTGACTGATAACTGTTATTGTGAACTTCCGCTACTAAAACTTATCTTTATCTTCATTCGTAGTAAAAGTTCTTGTAGACTTTTACTGGAGTGTTCTGTTGGCAAAGGTCATTTCGAATGTGTAGTTCACAGCTTGTCGGTAGCACGCATAGTTAAACTACTGAATCTTAGATAGAGTTTACTTGGTTGTTTACTCAAGAATGTAAATGTCAATGAAATGTTTTGAACAATAATACATAAAGAAGCATTGAGGTTTTAAAAAAAAAAAAAAGCAGCCTTGAGCGCTTATATACGTGTTTAATGCAGATCTTGTTGAACTCCATTCATATATCCATTCACTGCTCTTTTACAATTGCTCTCTGGCAGATATATTTTGCCACTTTATCCCATGACAAGCATTTCTTGGGTGGTTCCAGCGTACATTCACTTCTTACTTGACACCTTGTTTAGACTTTTGTTGAAGGGAGAGAGGCAATTATTTGTTGACTTATATGCCGTAATGACTATTATTTTGCGTGACCTGGAGTCAATGATATTCTTCGAATTAAGGAAGAGAAAGGTTCCTCTTTTGAAGAGGTTCAGAACATAATTCCTTCTAACAGTGAATTCGGTCTCTCGCTCCCTCTTCCTCTCCCCTTCAATCCCCACTCCACACCTCCAGCACCCCCATCACCTTCATAATCAACCATTGCCTTTGTCACATTCACAAATCCATCTCCACCATCTTGTTTCACGCCAAAACCCACCACCATTACCGCTTGAGGCACCACCCTCCCATCTCCACCAAACGACAATCATCCAGCCTCCATCTCTACCTCCATTTTAACGGCCATGTTGTTCATGGTGGAAACAAAAAGTTTTAGTAATGAGAAGTTTTGGCTTAATTGTTTTTGATTACTGGTTATGACATCTTGTAACTGTTTAGGTCTCTCCGCCATTATCCATATACCAATGCAAGGCCTCTAGTTATAGTTCAAGGATATTTGAAGGTGGATATTCAAGAGATGATAAACCAAAATTCTCGCAGTGATGGTATTGGAATGACGATGGTTGACAACACTGGCCACATATGCCAAAAATGGGTTCGCAATGGCAGTTGATTGAGTGAACATGGATGCTGTGATTTTAGGTTTGTTGAGATGGTTGGAAAGGTTACTCATGCACTGTGAAGGAGATAGTATTAGGTGGTGCAGACGTCATGTGTTGGATAGTAGGGGCTGGGGGTTGGCAATGAACTAAGCCTGGAGGTTGTGGTAGGGTGTGAAGTTGGGAATGCATGGTTGTGGCTTTGGGTTTGCTTTTTGTTTAGTTTGGATGGTGATTATGTGATCCTAGTGGTGGAAATCTATATTATATAGATTCGGGTTTGGGTATGTATGTCAGTTATAAGTATGTGTCTTGGTATCAGATTTACGAGAATCCATCCAAGGTGATGGGGACAAACTAAATATTCATATTTGTTAATATTGTTCTTTGTTTTTATTGTAAATGGCGTTTTAATGTAACATGACCAGTTCACATGTGTGTTTAACTCGTTTCCTAGCTGTATTGTAAACAAAATAAATAAATAACATAATAAGATAGTTTGTATACAATTATATATCAAAATTGAGTTATCGAATATGGTTGCTAGGTACTTGTTTGACCAGACATGTCATACGCATATTCCATATTTATATCTGAGTGTCATTTCTGAGACACAAGTCCTTAACTCACTTAGAGGAATCCAGCAATAGCAATGCATTTTGAAGATGATTGGTTGTTTTTGGTGGTGGTGCTAGGGATGGTTGTTTGGGTTCAGAGAGGTACTGTAAATGTGGTACAGAGAGAGAGACTCAGAGAGTGGAAAAAAGGGAAGAGAGGGATGAGGTGTAGAGAGAGAAAAGGCAAAGTGGTGGTGTCCTGAACTGATCAATTAAATCAGAAGATTGTTGACTTTTCTGTTATATAAGTTGTTATAATGTAATTTTACTTTCTTCTCGGTCATTAGCCCAACAACTGTTATGTGGAGGCCATTCTCTTTTTTCAAAACATGCCATTTAGTTCCTTTGTATAAAAGCAGAAGTTCGGGGGTTCAAAGTAGAAATCCACCTAATAAATAAAGATAGTAATTGTTGCCTATTTTCAGCAAACTCTTTCTTCCTCCTCCCTTGCTCTCAGCCTCATGATAGACTCAACTGCTGATCGCTATTACCCTTTCGATGTGTTAATTTCAGGTGCATCAGAGGAGAACATTCGGGAGCTTTTCTCAAAAGCACACAGGACTGCACCATCTATTGTATTTATTGATGAAATTGACGCAATTGCTTCAAAAAGAGAGAATCTAAATAGGGAAATGGAAAGAAGAATTGTGACACAATTGATGACTTGCATGGATGAGTCACATAGGGTTGTACAAGCAGCTGATGACAATCCAAATGCAGAAAGTCCCGATAGCAAACCTGGTTATGTTCTAGTAATCGGAGCTACCAACAGGCCTGACGCTGTTGATGCTGCATTAAGGAGGCCTGGACGATTTGATCGTGAGATTGTTTTGGGTGTTCCAGATGAAATTGCGAGGGTTGATATTCTCACTGTGCTTACACGTAATCTTAGACTTGAAGGTGCTTTCGATCTTGTGAAAATAGCCAGGTCCACGCCTGGATTTGTTGGTGCTGACTTGGCAGCTCTAGCTAACAAAGCGGGTAACCTTGCTATGAAGAGAATTATAGACAGAAGGAAATCTGAGCTTTCCAGAGAACCTGCAGATGGGGATCATACTGAAGAGTGGTGGAGATATCCATGGTTGCCAGAAGAGATGGAGAAGCTTAGTATCACCATGGCTGATTTTGAGGTAATCTAATTCTGTCTATATTCAGAAGTGTACTGCCTATTTTTTATCACTTTGTTTATTTTCAATTGCTTTTAACAGCTGATTGTAATTTTGACCTAGTTTATTCTCCGCTTAGGTTCTCAGCAATTGTTCTCTGTACATTTTCCTCTGAAAATTGTTTTCATTTTCCTGTAGTACTTGGATGATTTAAAATATTGAATTCCTTACCAAGGAATTTGAATGTTCATTTAAATATGTACTTGAAGAAACAGACATATTTCATGCTATTATAATGAGTTAATGACCTCTAGCTTTGTAGCTTTATTTGTTGTTAAAATCAGTGTCGTACTATAACTCTATGTTGCCAATACTTGACTATTCCCTTTCTGTTTTATAGATTTTAGAAGAAAACTTGTTTTTTTACTCTGTAAACCTTTTTCTGTGATGATCATCTTCAGGAAGCTGCTAAAATGGTTCAACCCTCTTTAAGAAGAGAAGGATTCTCTGCCATTCCTAATGTAAAATGGGAAGATGTTGGAGGACTTGATGTGTTGAGACAGGAATTTGATCATTATATAGTTAGACGCATAAAATATCCCGAGAATTATGAGGTAACTATATCTCTTCCTCCATAGACTTTCAATTTTCTACCCTCTCACGCATTGTTTAGAACTGTTACTGGTTTTCACACATTGTTACATCCTTATGGTTTATTTATGGACTTAAATTATATTTTTAAAGATCTCTCTTGCTTGAACATGCATAAACAGATTTTATTTTCGTATATACTTTTTAGATATAAGTAAGCCATTTCTAGTGTCATCAACTTTGAAACAGTTTCGGGATTTAGTTTTGAATACTTGCACACTTATGACACGACGATATAATTATGTTGAATCATTGTATTACAATTTTAAAGATCTCTATGGCATGAACTAACATCAATATATTGCTTTAATTTGTTTATACCTTTTAGATATAAGAAGACACTCTCCTAGTCATCTACTTTGGAATAATTCTTGCCTTTTAATTTTTGAGTATTTCCAATCTTTTGACATGGAGGGCAGGAGGGGTATACTTATGTCCAGTCGTTGTTTTATGATTGGATTCTTGCTGCATTCACCTCAAATTCTTTCATCCTTTCCAATTTTTTGGACTCAATTATAATGTCTTTCACAATATTTTCGTATTCTGAAGTCTTGTCAGTCTGTTTCCCATCAGCACAGTAAACTTATATACCTGGTTATTACATTTTATATTCTGGATTCTTATATTTAGGAAACATTTTCAGGAATTTGGAATCGATCTAGAGACAGGATTTTTGCTTTATGGGCCTCCAGGCTGTGGTAAAACGTTAATTGCCAAGGCTGTTGCTAATGAGGCAGGAGCTAATTTCATACACATTAAGGTTTGTCACAATGTTTTCACTTTCAAATCCTTTGTCTGAATATGCATGTTTTCTAACTATGTTTATTGTCAAGGGCCCCGAACTTCTAAATAAATATGTCGGAGAAAGCGAGTTGGCAATTCGGACAATATTTAGTCGCGCAAGGACATGTTCTCCATGCATACTTTTCTTTGATGAGGCATGTTGTTCTTACTCCTTGAATGCTGGTTATCTTGTTCTTGCTGTTCCTCTTACTATCATATTTATTGGCATCATTGTTGTTAATTACTATATCTATCATAAGTTTTCTACCTTGCTTTTGTCTGTTTTCAAAGAGTTTGTGTGCATTCTGATGTCATTTTTCCTTATTGTTGGAAAATACGTAAACTCTTGAGACAATCCCAGTTTTGAATCTTTATGTATATTTTATTGAACAAGATTCAACAGCCATTTGTTGCTCCTTCTCAAGGACCACACCAGCCCTCAACATCATGGGCTGGCTTCGTTTTACTCAAAGGCCAAAAAGGCCTTATAATATATTCCAATTGATGGGAGATGGTCTCCAGAGCCGGAAAGTGAATTTCACGTCTTTGTTATACAAGATGCTTTTCCATTACAAGGAGGTGGTAGACACAATCAGTTAAACTTTTGGAAGAACTCAATAGAAATCTCTCTTCTTCTCTCTTAAAGGAGAACTCATTAGTCCACCCATGGAAAATATGGCCAGTTGATAGCTATATTTTCCCACTTGAATTATTTGTCCCTTTTATGTTATGTTATGTTATTATTAACGTTCTTTTATTGTATCACAAGGCAGGCATAGATTCCTTGTTAAGTATCTCTTAAACTCTTACAAGGGAGTTTTGATGGAAAAAAAGGTCCTATACTACTTGCATTTATTTTCTTAAATGAAGTTGTTGTCTTCCAGGAAAGAACAACTATTTCATCTGTATGGCACATTGGTATGGCACTATGGCTTGCTCAATGATTTCCTAAGTGAAGCTGATTTACAGTAATTTAGGTCTGCCAGGGAGAATGTATGGCTTTCATCATGTCAACCTTTTTGGCATTAACAGACCTCTGGTGTAAAGCAGATTCCTGTGAGGAGATAAGAAAAAGAATGAGCAGAAAGCTGTCTTGAGAGGTTTCACGAGTCCTTTTCTTTCTTATTCAAAGTTTTCTCTTAGTGGAAGGGTAACTCAAGAGAGAAGGCCCTCCCTTGAGAGGTTTTCTTGGAAGTCCTTTTTTCTTTTTCTTTTTTTCTTTTTTTTCCCTTTTTCCCCTTTTCCACATGGAGTTTATCTTCATTATAGGATGGAATCTCCTATTAATTTTAACCATGACGTGCATTTATTATTAGAGATCATACATTCAGGGGAATTTAGAATTCTACCTTTTTGTTAAGTGGAATGCATCTGCTGTACATACTTAGATTTGGTACCAAGGGTTGGAAGAAGAGCAATAGCTTATTCTTTGGCAGCTAATTGCCTGGTGATTTGGCGATTACATAATCGTGGCTGCATGTCAAACACTGGAGTAATGGAGCTAATTGCCTGGTGATTTGATTGCATGAAATCAGGAATTTGAACTGAATAAATTAGGAAGTTCATGGCTGTCCAGGTATTGCAGTAAAGTAACCTGCTAAAAAAATTTAAGATTTAAGCCAAAAATTAAAGAAACAAAATGCTTCTCATAACTCATCTCCCTAATTCTTTACATGTATCTTTCTTTTCTGGCTTCGGCTTGAAGCAGAACTTGTTTCTTTGTTTATCTTTTTTTTTCGCCCTCTCTTCTCTCTCCTTTTCAGTGAAGCTTAGTTCCTAAAGAGAAATTCTATGATTTCTTTACTAATTAAGAAAACAAGGGGTCCACTAATATTTGTATTTTATTGGTTTTCACTTTACACTTGGTGGGCAAAGGATTACAAATTAAGCCATTTATATTTATTTGTATGTGGAATACCCATTTCTGTTTAACATTTAGGTCTATTTTCCATTGATTATGGATGAAATGATAGTGAGAATCATAGGTCCATGACTGTCTGTATAGGAGTGGCATTGAGGATTTCTTTTCATGGTGATTTGGATGGAGTTATCCGTGGATGTTAATGTTATGCTTCACAACTGTTGCTTCATCTTTCGCAGGTAGACGCTTTGACAACTAAGCGTGGAAAAGAAGGGAGTTGGGTTGTAGAGCGGCTCTTAAACCAGGTTAGATAAATTACAAATTGTGTCTCTGGATTTACTCGTGCATACCTACTCTTGCGTTCTTTAATTGTACATGCATCTGAATATGAATCCATTTCTTACTATTGCAGCTATTGGTAGAGTTAGATGGTGCAGAACAGAGACGGGGTGTTTATGTGATTGGTGCCACAAATAGGTATAACATATGGTTCCTTTTTCCAAGATTCCGCTGATAATTTGTATCGTTTATCTGTCAAAGTTTACCTCTCTGATCTTGCTATAAAACTTTTGGCAGGCCTGAGGTGATGGACCGTGCTGTCTTGCGGCCTGGAAGGTTTGGGAAACTTTTATATGTCCCTCTGCCCAGTCCAGATGGGCGTGGATTAATCTTGAAAGCTCTTTCTAGGAAGAAACCTATAGATGCCAGTGTTGATTTGATAGCTATTGGGAGGAATGAGGCTTGCGAAAACTTAAGTGGAGCAGATCTTTCTGCACTGGTTTGGTTCTTTTTCCCATAATTGCAGTTGGAGCCAAATTCTGTGTTTGTGCACTTGTTTGCACGCGTATCAGTGCACGCTTGTTTATGCACAAGTATTCCTTGTTATCAGTCGTTCTTTAAGTAGTTGATTCTATTTCTGTTTGTGTAGATGAATGAAGCTGCAATGGCTGCCCTGGAAGAGAAACTGTTAGCTCAGGGCACTTCAGATGCCATTCCATTGACCATCACGACAACACATTTCAACCGGGCATTGGAGAAGATCTCCCCATCTGTGTCAGACAAGGTATGATTACTCTTCCGAGTCCACATCCAATGCTGATGAATGCGAACCTGGACAGCTCCATTTTATCCAATCTTATTTATTTATTTATTTATCCGGAAGTTCATCTTTCTCTTGTTTCATTCGATTGGAATGCAGCAAAAACAATACTATCAACGTTTGTCGGATAGCTTCAGAGCAGCCTGATTGCTGAGTAGTGTGTGATAGTTTTGAGTTGTCCAGACTCAGATTCTACTGCAAATGTCAAGGTGTCAAACTCTATTGTAGAAGATGCATTCCAATAGAAAACCATAATACGCCACTCAGATTCTAGTGCAAATGTCAAAGGTGCCAAACCCTATTGTGGAAGAGCTATTCCAATACAAAACCATAATAGGTCACTACATCTTAGGATTGAAATAGTTTGTCAGGCTTGTATTTGATGCATCTGTGCCTGTACTCTCCATCTTGGGAAAAAGTTTTGGCTATAGCACCATCGCTTGGTTTTTGTAGTACTGTTTCTCTTTTTGTGAAATCAAATTTAGTTATTGTACAATGTGTTTCAATAGTTTGTAAAACAGAAAGATGTGTGCAATTTTGAGCCATTTCATTTTTCATTCATTTTGTTGTTGGTAGCGGGATTGAGGTATATATTAGCTAAAAATGGTTGTGGGATTTGATTAAAATTTACTTATTTGTTGAAAAAATACGAGTTTCCCCTTAAAGTAGTTAGATTTAAAGACACTTGATTTGAACTTTGAAATAGTTTTCCTCCAATTACCCCAAGTTTTTATACTAAATGGACATGTCGAACCATATTTTGTTATATGTACTCTCTCTCAGAGGGATAAAATTTCAAATTCAAACCCAGGACTTTGCTTTTGTTCTTACCACATACAACCCCAAAATGCTACTGGATGTCACCTGTATCAAATCAACAAACAACATCAATGGCATTTGGTTGAGTCATACAAAAAAAGAAAACACTTGGACAAAAACGAATTTCATTAATTACAACTTCATTGAGAATTTCAAAAATTTCAAATTCAAACCCAGGACTTTGCTTTTGTTCGTACCACATACAACCCCAAAATGCTACTGGATGTCACCTGTATCAAATCAACAAACATCATCAATGGCATTTGGTTGAGTCATACAAAAAAAGAAAACACTTGGACAAAAACGAATTTCATTAATTACAACTTCATCGAGAATTTCAAAACAGAGATAAAATGTTGTGTAACAACTTACAGCAAAATTTTAGTTTACTAGAGTCAAAAAATGCAAACTCCACCCCTATTAAGACTGACCAATGGGATTGAAGCATTCATCTGTAATCCTCTTCTCAAACCAGCCAGATTAGTTCTCCCACATGCAGCATCTTGACACCGTGTGCTCTGGTAGCCGAAAGAATACCCTCCTCCTGTTCCTCTTGTATAGCCTCCCCCAGAAGTTCGGCCTGGAGCCAACGGTCTCCCACCACCAGCATTATACCCACTGGTACTGCCTTGCCTCTGTGAGAATGAGAAGTTGTCTTGGCACTTACCACCAACAGAAGAGGCATCAACAGCATGATCCTGGCCATCCCTCTGCCGCAGGGGCAGGCTGTCCAATCCACCACCACCACCATTCCTTGCCTCTGTTGCCCTCTCATTGCTTTCTGCCAGGATTGACAGCTTCTCGGTCACATGGAATGTCAGAGCTTGCAACCTTTTGTGCTCAACATCATGGAAGACAATGCACCGGGTTGGCTGATCCCAACTAGCATGGAGCTCCTCTGTGATCATCATTTTGCTCACAATGCTATGAGTCCGGACATTTGAAAGATCAAACATCTTTGCAAGCTGATCCAAGCTCAGAGATTCATAGGATGATGACGAATGAGTAACAAGATAAGTTCTCAGGGCCTCTTCCTTTATTCTGGCCCTGATCATCTCCAGAATATTATCCCGGTCTCTGAGGAGCCTCCAGACATCAAGGGACTCGATGAAATCAACCGCTTTCTGGAAGTCACCTTTGTTAAAAGCTCTGGTGGCTGCCATTACATGGTCCCTTACGTTTTCAGGCGGACCAGTAAATGTTTGTCTCTCACTCACCTCAAGTAATCGCCGAAAAGTCTTACAGATTATGACATTGTGTTTGGCATTGTTGCTGCTGGCTGCCATGTTGGGAACTTCCAGCAGCATTGCACATGTTAGATGGACTGCTTCCAAAAGCTCAAGATTTATGTGCATGTGGTAAGGCATCTGCCGCGTCCTTTCCAGCCGTTCCTGACAAAATGCAATCATTTACAACAGAAATTAGACTCTTAACCAAAAAAATAAGAGATAAGCTATATTAAAGCAACGTCGACTAGCAGAAATGTTTCTCAAAAAACCCAAAGAAGACGGAAAATACATTTATCATAGCAATAGAAACATAGTATTCTATAACATCTTAGAAGCTGAAAAAACATTTATCTTCCTAAAACAGAAGAAATACAAAGACTTAAACTTGTGTCGGACTCTTAATTAAAAAGCAACAATATGGAAATCCTTTTTTGTAAAATGACTCATGCATGACCAATAGTTAACCCACAAATTAAATCATACCACTCCAAGTAGGTTGTCATTCCTGCATAATTGTGAAAGATACATGTAGTTACAAGTTATGCTTATTAGTTTTATGAACAATATTAATACCTGTTCAGGAGTCCTCTCATGATATCGGCTTTGGAAGACACCTTGTGCAAGTAGTTCCTTCACTCTACCACCTGAATAGAGTTCACAAAGGCAACCATGTCCTTCAGCAATTAGTCCCACCCTAAACGCACATAGACCAAGCTGCGCCATAGCTCTGTTAAAAAGTATCTGGGTTGAAATGTCCATATGCTGGATACTATCCTGCAAATGTCTCATTAACAACAAATCACGGGCATTTGAAAATTCATCCAGTAAAGCATGGTGGTATATAGAACAAAGCATTCCTCGGGCCTTAACCCGCTCATCTCCATGCTTGTATATTCCTAAAACTAGGATATCCATGTTGTTCTTCATCGTCTGCTCAGCCGACTTCCTCATAGCATCATATACCTCTGGCGGTTTATAGTATATGAGTTCAACCTGCATTAGTGCTACCTTTGCGGCAGTCTTGTAATCCCCAACCTGTTCTAGATATTCCTGGAAATCTGAGCAAGAAGCAAGAACATAGGCTCATCCCTGAGCCTTTCCACATACTCACGAGTGTATGGATCAATGCATTGTAAGCTCTTAAAGAACTCAGCATATATCCTTTCAAGGAAGGCCACCAAATTTCCCCATACTCAATCGTCCCATTAAAGTCTGCTTCTTTTTGACTTTCGATCTCTTCAGGATCCACCATGTCATCAACCATAATGTTGGGATACTGGACAAGGATGTCCAGTATAACAAACATGTTCTGCACACACTTCTTCCACATGTTTATAGGCATGTGACCACTGAGAAGACTTGGCTTAACATCAAACTGTGAAGAGACAACACTCTGAATTATTTCAAGCTTCTGAGCAGGGGTTTTAGCGAGCTTGCTCAGGAAAGTGAGCTGTTCAACCAGTTCAATCCTTTCAGTTCCCTTCCTACCCCGTGCCGCTACAATCTCTCTGAACTTTTTGTTAACTATGTCCCATGTAATCTCGGGTCGGTCATCCTTTTTGGGCTGCTTGTCCATCATCTTATGTTTCTTGCTCATCATCTTCTCCCAAGCCCCACCATTCTCAGTTTCACCATCACCACCCTTTTCTTCATCCTCATCCCCTGAATCTGACCCCATTGTGATCTTCGATTGGTCCTCCTCAAACTCTGAACCCTCATCCTCTATCTGCTCATTCTCATCACCCCTTTCATCCTCATTATCATGGTTCTCCCTGCACTTATTAATCAAATACTCATACTGGTGGTTGTTCTTCTTCAGTTTTTGCTTCAAGTAACTCATTTTTTTCTTCGCATCCTTATTGGCAATATTAACCTGACTCAAAAAGTCCTCCAACATCACAAGAGCTTTGATGTAAAGGGCTGGGACCTTTTCAGACTACGCTACCCTCATGACATTCTCTAGTTGTTCATTAAGCTTGATAAAGCTCTCTCGCAATCTGACCCAATCATTAATTTTCATTGCATTCTTTATCTGATCAACAGTAGAAGATAATTCCTTGAAGCGTTTGTCTTTGGCAGGTCTGACAACACGCTTCTGCCCGTCGGAATCATCACTATCACTGACATTCGCCTGAAGATATTTGCTTCGGGTGGCTGTAGTGGTGGATTCGCCTGCTCCCCTAGCACTTACCTCTTCATCATGATCACTCTCCTGTTCCTCAGCTTCACTGTCATCCTATTAACAACAATGACAATAACTTTCTTAAAATTAAAGAGCATAAAGAAGTATATAATAAGTATATTCATTGAGATGTACATATAAGTTGCATCCAAACATAAAATAAGAAATTTGGGATTTGAAACTGAAGCTACGAACCTGAATCCAAAACCGGGATGCCATTGCCATTGTCCTCTCTGAGAGTTTTATCCAAGAAATAAAGATAGAAAAATCTGTACAAAAAGAAACAAAAAAACTAATATTTAAAAATGTATAAAGAGAGAAAAATCAAAAATTGAATATTGACAGTGACTTCAGAAACAATAAGCCTAGATTACTGGTTCAATCATTCTCATCTGAAACCCACCAAATTTATCCCAAAAAAACTAACCTTTAACCAAATTATAAATCCCCAAAAAATAAAAACCTTAACCACCAAATACATGTATACAAATAAAAACAGTGAAGAAAAAAAAAAAACAGAGAGAGAGACTAGAGACTTCACAAGCCCTAAATTGACTTAAAACATGATGAACATGAAGAAGAAGAAGAAGAACTTACATGATACTTGAAAAACCACCACCGCCGCCTCCGTCGATTTTCGCCTCTGTAGAATTTTCTAGCGGCCTTCTTTTAGGATTTTCCAACCGCCTCTGCCTATTCTAACCGCCTTTGTTTGGAATTGATTAATTTAGGATTTGCAAAAGGAATCTGAATTTGAATTTGAATTTGAATTTGAATTGGAATAGGAATAGGAATTGAAATTAAAATGAAATTTTAGGATTTTTTTTAATATTTAATTATTAATTTACATTCTTACCCTCCATTAATTTGTATTATTATATATTAATTAATTACTCTAAAAAAAAAGTAAGAATCATTTTCCTTTTCACACTGAAAAAGTTAACTACTATTAAAATAAATTAGAAATCATTTTCCTTTTCACACGGAAAAGGAAACAATCGACCGGTAATTTTACTTCTAGGGAGTACATTTCACCTATGATTAACGGTCGTAAATTCGCAATCGCAATCAAGTGGATTTGTGCGAGTTTTGGGCCTACTCACCCATTGACGAATCAGTGCCTATAATCTATTATTAACCCATTTATAATGAAAAATAAAATGATTAAATATGAAATGAGTTAGTCAAATTATAAATCCCCAAAAAATAAAAAACCCTAACCACCAAATACAAATATACAAATAAAAAGAGTGAAGAAAAAAAAACAAAGAGAGAGACTTCACAAGCCCTAAATTTGACTTAAAAACATGAAAAAATAAAAAAAAATAAAA